GAAGAAACTGTTTTTTCACAATTGAATGGTTCTGGCACCCTTGTTGAAAGTCAGTTGACCATAGACATTTGGGTTTATTTCTGGGCTCTCAGTTCTATCCTGTTGGTCTGTGTGTCTGTTCATATGTCAGTACCATATACTATTTTGATTACTGTGGCTTCGTAGTAAGATTTGCAATTGGGAAGTGTGAGTCTTCCAACTTTGTTTTTCTTTATCCAGAGTGTTTGGCTATTTAAGGTCCTTTGCAATTCCATGTTAATTTTAGGATAAGCTTTTACATTTCTGCCAAAGAGGCCACTGGGATTTTGATAGAGATTGCATTGAATCTGTAGATTGCTTTTGCTAGTATCGCCATTTTAACGGTATTGTCTTCCAATCCATGAATATGGGACATCTTTCCATTTGCTTAGGTTTTCTTTAATTTCTCTTAGAAAGTCTTTGTAGTTTCCAGCATATAAGTCTTGAACCTCCTTAGTTAAATTTTTACTAAGTATTTTATTCTTTTTGTTGCTATTGTAAATGGAATTGTTTTCATCATTTCCTTTTCATGTTGTTTGTTGCTAGTGTATAGAAATACAATCGATTTTTGTGTGTTTATTATGTATCCTGAAACTTTGCTGAATTAGTTTATAAGCTCTAATAGTTTTGGTGGGTTTTTTTGCATGTGGATTCCTTGGGATTTTATATCTATAAGATCGTGCTGTCTGCAAATAGAGATAGTTTTACTTCTTCATCTCCAATTTTGGTACCTTTTGTTTCTTTTTCTTGCCCATTTGCTTTGGCTAGAACTTCCAGGACAATGTTGACTAGACGTGGTGAAAGTGGGCATCCTTGTCTTGTTCCTGATCGGAGGGGAAAGCATTCAGCTGTTCTCCATCGAGGATGATGTTTGCTGTGGGTTTTTCATAAATGCCCTTTATCCTACGGAGGAAGTCCCCTTCTTGTCCTAGTTTGTTGAGTGTTTTCACCATGAAAGAGTGCTGGATTTTTCAAATGTCTTTTAAAAACCTTGTTTTTATCTTTATAAAAGCGTGTTGTGTTGTACATTATATTTTGACCCCTTTTCACGGACTGTTATATTGCTGCAGGTGGTTCATGTCTCCGTGTGTGACGGTGTCAATGTTCTGGCAGCTGAACGGTATTCCAGAGTAGGAGTATTTCTGGAGATGGGTTTACCTTTCACTGTGTAAATATTTTGTTTGCATCCCTTAACAGAGGCTTAGTTAGCATAGGAGATGGGTCATTTTTCTGGGTACCAGTCAGCAGGCAGCCTTAAGGAACTGTCGGTGTGCAGCGTGGTCCCAAGCTCTGGAGGGCGCGTTGTGGGAGGGGGGCCCAGCCACTGCCTAACTCAAGCGTGAGACGAGAAGGAGGGGGGCAGAGTTGGCGATCTGTGGACGTGGACTGGGAGGGAGAATTCCATGGCACCACTGAGAAGGAGCTGATGATGGATGTGGGAAGCTTGACACGGATGTTAAGGGACCAGAAATTGAAATAACCTCTCCAGGTTTCAAGCCCCGGTAGCAGTTGGGGGGTATGTGTGTTTAGGGGAAGGGATGATTCCAATAAGAAGAGCTGTGAAAGACGACAGTGCGTGAATGGATTTGCGTTGTGTTCTGTGAACGTGTCCGAGCCGCGCCTGTTCCTATTCAGGTCGACCCTGAATCAAGGCAGGAGTTTTAATGCTTCTCTCAGATTTTGGAATCCTCTTCCTCCCATCTAGCTTGTGTTTTCCCATCACATGGAAACTCCCGCTGTCTTGCTGTCTGTGGGATACTTCCTGCCGAGCCCTGCTGCTCTGCAACGGCTCCGATGACGCTGTGGCTTCCTGGCTTGTCCTCCCCCTTCCTCCATGCTGCCTTTGAAATCCTGTGATTCCTTTGGGGTTCAGCTCATGTTCTGCTTTTCCCCTGAAGTCTTTCTACAGTTCTTTCTTCCTTTCTGAATAGCTTGGACTTTTTACTGAATGAAGGTCATGAATTGCTGAAATTACCTAAAACTTAAAAACTGTACAGTCTGAATTGATCTTATCTTTCTTTCAGAAATAAGATATTTATGTTCCAGGATTACTCTTGTGGGAAAAGTTTGTGCTTCGGTTAAATTAATGAGGGCAAAAGAAATAAATCTTCTTGAAAACATCTTGTCTGGTCATTATGCCACTTAAGTGAGGGGAACTTCTCACCACCGTGTAGAAATGCTTGCACTTAAGCAGCCTTTAAGAGGCGGATGACACTCCAGTTGTGCATCCAGAGTTTCAGGCCATCAGACCCGCCCTTTCCTCTGCCTGTGGCACCGCCACCGGGCACAGCTGTCCACCAGCTCAGCTGCCTCGTGGCGTTTCCTGTGGTCAGGTCCCTCGGAGCCCCTTCGTGAAACTGGTCGCTGTGGCTCACACATGCTGCTGGGTGGAAACGTAGTCCTCCGTCTGGTACCTCCCATGAGAGATTCATCAGGGGCAAACCTGGCTGGAAGGACACTTATCTCCAGAGCCAAGTTTCTTCAGAGTCATGTCAGTGAAGATTGAGTTGCAGGTTGCAGGTCGGAAGTGGACCAGCTGGGGGCCTTGGACACGTGGAACTGGACTTGGGTGGTCAGTGGGGTTTGGGGGGGCACTAGGACAGTTCACGTGTGAGGGAGAATGGGACAGTCTGTGCGTAAAGGGGGCATTAACTGAGTTTATGATGGCAAATTTGGGCTACGCTGTCCTGTGGGTTCAGCTGAGCAGTCGGCCTCTGCCGGGATCTGCCGGTCCTCTCTGAAGGGGCAGGCTGAAGAGCTGCTTCCACTCTTGGCTGAGGCGCTCTTCTTTCATCTAACTGGTAAACTTATTACGAAGGGGCATCTTTGGCTCATCCGGCATTGCCGGACCCTTGTTCACAAGCCCCCAGTGAAAGGGCGTCTTCCCTGCAGCGTCTTAGTGACGTGAGACAGCTGGCGAAGGTGGACAGTCGAAGACATGCAGCCGCCGGGGAGCGACTGCTTCAGGGGCTCGTGGTGTACCCTTCTCATGGGATGCTGTTCAGTACTGAGAAGTGGGGTCTGTCCACACGTAGAGATGTGAAAAGAGGACCATAGGATATTGTGGGGAAAAAAGCAAGAAGCAAGTTATGCGTATCTGATGACCTATGTTTGTTCAGAAAAAAAATCCTGTGCACGTGTGGAGAATTCTTACTAAGACAGCGTTACGTCGTGTGCCTTACATTCCCCGCGTGCCAGCACTGTGCTCAGTACTCACACTCCTGCAGGATCCGACTCAGTTCCCACCACGCTGTGCGGTGGGTGGTTACTAACCTGCTTTACAGATGAGCGAGCAGGAAGCCTGCCCTGGGGCAGAGCAGGCCGGACCCAGCGGGCTCCAGCCCCGAAGCCTGCTCCCAGCCACCGTGCCTGGCACTCCCTGGGGACATGATCTGCTGGGAGAATGGAGTGGCTAGTGTCTGGCAGGGATGTCATGTGAGACTCATGCCCGAGAGGGTCCTGACCCGCTGCCTCCCGATCCTTCCCTCACTCTGCTTTTGTGTCCTGGCTGCAGGAGCCTCCTGCATCTGTTTCTGAAGGTGCCACTGCTCTGCAAGGACACCCCTTCCCCTCCAGTGCCCACCCCCCCCACACCGCCCGGGATGCTGCAGTTCATTTCGGGTTCAAAGGGCATGAGGCCGCTTTGTGTCCTGACTTCTTGCTACTCAGGGAACCTTGATGAGTACTCGATACTTAACTTCGTCTTCTCTCAAAGCAAGTTCAGAACATAATGGCTACGGGTCTGACTGCTAGGGCACCCTAGGGCCGCAGTTCCCATTAAACATTAGCTCACTTTGCCTCCAGGTTTGAAGCCAGTGTACCCAGAAGAAATTGACAAAGGGACAGCGATGTTGAAATGTTTTAAGTGCAAACAGGAGGATTCCTGTGTGCTGACAAGGATGAGGCTGTGTCGTCTAAAGTCCTTATTTGATTCCTCCTTTTTCATCCCTTCCCGGTGCCCTTTTCTTCTCTGAGCTTTCACAGTCTTGTGCCTGAGCTCGACAGCTCACTCTTTGTTAAATGTGTCTGATTAAATATGTGTATGTAAAATGTCACTTTGACATAGTTTTAATTCCCTGGAGGGACAGTGCTGCCACTGCTGAGAAAATGAAAAAATGCAAGATTTGGAGCACCAGAAAGTATTCATCTAACATGTTATTAAATATATTTAATACATATTTAAGTATATATTTATGTTTATGTGTCTATATCGCAGGCATCTGGTGCCTAGCATCCTCAGGGGGCTGCTGCGTCCTGCCTTCTGCTCCCCACAGCCCCGTCTTTGCTGCACGAGGTTTTGGTTGATTGCTCTTTATTGCATCCAGTGGGAACCAGTTCCTCCACCTGTTCTCGTTCCCTGTGATCTCGGTTCCCTCTTGTTCCTTGGGCCTGAGGATGCAGCTAAGTCAGAGGGTGGGAGAGAAAGAAGTGAGAGATGCTGTCATTCAGAGCGTGAGTTGGTTGAAGACATAATCCTGTCTACTTCTCTTCTTGGTCAAAGCAAAGATAACACAGAGTCCTGTGAGCAGGATGTCCATCAGGTCGACAGGACTGAATATCTAGATTTTTAATTGATCATCTGGAAGCTTTGGGACAGTGGACTCTGATAATTTCCCTGTAAGGAGTCTGTCTCTTGAGAACGTTGTTCTTCGTCACCTGTCCAGATACATTTTTACTGTCTTGCTTGTTAACGTGACTGCCGGCATCCTGGAGAAGCTGGTCTCTATTAGCAGAAAAGTGTGGACTCAAAAGCTTTTCCTCTAAAATGAGTCCGTTGTGTAATATCCCAGCTGCCTCAGAACACAGGTGCTGCTCTTGCTCCAAGAAGGTGGAGGGGGACGCGCCAGATCCTGACCAGGCGTGGGGGAGGCGTGGGCCCCGCCAGCGAAGGCCGCTGGTGTTGCAATCTCAGCCTGAACCATATCTCTGGGAAAGAGTCCTGCCTGTTAGTGTTCCTGAGAAGCCACGGCCCCTCACCCCCCGCGTGGGGTGTTGGCCTTGGAGAAATGTGGAGGTTAGCTGCAGAGCTGAAGCGCGTCCACGAGGAGCTTCATTCTGCAGAATCTACACAGCCTTCCTCCCCACACGTCGACCAGAAGCTCAGGCCTTGGGAAATCAGACTAAGGACCGAAATTCCTCAAGGTAAGAGGACCCCCCTCCTCCCCAGAAATGGACTCCTCCAACTTTCTCACATGGTTATTCAGGCACTTTCACTTTCCCATATATAGGAGTCACTCAGGAGCGAGCTCTGACCAGTCGGAGGGAGTGACACATCCCTGTTTGGCCCCTCCCTCCTGCCCATCCTCGCTTTCCCCGCGTGCTTGCACGCAGTTGGGCGGCGGTGATCCAGGGGCTGTGCCAGAGGCAAGCCTGTTGGGTCTAAAGAAAAAAAGTCAGGCAAAGTCACAGCATTAAGACTGTTGCCTTGAAGAAGCGAGTGGAGAATTGTGAGAAGATGAACGGACCGGTGGACGGCTTGTGCGACCACTCTCTGAGTGAGGAAGGGGCCTTCATGTTCACATCGGAGTCTGTAGGAGAGGGGCACCCAGGTGAGTAGGCGCCGGGACCCACGGCAGCCTGTCGAGGGGTCCGTTTCCTGGAGGTCCTGAAAACAACTTGTTAGTTATTAGAAGGGGTCTCTGGAGGAACAATATGAAGTGCTTTCTATTCTATTGATTTGTAGTTTTGTAAAACAGTCACTCAATATGCAAATGATAAACTGTAAGTGAGTGACGCCAGGGCTCCATGCCGCTGCCCACCACCTGCGTCTCGTCACGCAGGGCCACAGCAGAGAACACACACTGGTCGGCTAGACATGTCACACGTAGAAAGTACCGTCAGATATAAACTTTATGTGTGTATATATATATATTTTTTTTTGAGTGAAGCTTTAACTTGTCAGTGAGCAGCTCACGTCGGCAGAGAGCGTTTCCTGCAGACCGTGGGTCACTAAGTTCTGCATGTGAAGCGCGTGCGGGTTAGAAAGGGCCGTGGCGCATTCCAGTGGGCCTGGAGATAGGTCTCTGGTCCTGGAAGTCTCAGACGCATCGTATGAGGGGAGGGCAGCCACCTCCTGACGTGGAAGGAATGGAAAGCAGTGTTTTGGTCCCTGAACGGAAGGTGGACTTGAGAAATGGGGAACCAAGAGAGCTGCTGTCGCGACAGCAAAACACATCAGAGCCCCTGGGACAGAGTTCTCCCACTGCAGGAGCGCCAGCATCGCCCAGCGGGCCCCATCCCCGGAGTTTCTGAGGCAGCAGGTCTTGGGTGACGCTCAAGAATTTGCATTTTTAGTAAATTCCCAGGAGATGCTGATGCTGCTGGTGTGGGAACCACGCTGTGAGACCCACTGTCCCGGGAGAGCCCTGGGGGCCAGACACACTGATTTATGTGCTTTGCCGCTTTTTCAAAATTCATTTGAATGTTTGAAGTTTTTGGTAACTTATGACCAAGTCTACTGTTTTCCATCTTCCTCATCCTTGTTCTCTCTCAGAGACTTAACTCTCGTACCTTGTCACTTAGCTTTAGACGTGTCAGTGCTACTCCTTCCACCTGCTTTAGCCAGCGATTCTCAGCTGCGGGCGATTCTCAAGGATCCCAAGGGCATCTCGTAATGTCTGGAAACCTCCTTGGTTGTCACAACCGTGTGGGGAGCGGATGTGAGACCGGCCGTCAGTGGATCGAGGACGGGTGTGCTTCTAAACGTCCTGAATGCACAGGGCCAGCCCCCACAACAAAGAATTTTTCAGGCCCCAATGTCAGTGGTGCTGCTGCTGAGAAACCTGGGCCTAAACTGGGTTTTGCACGTGACTTAGCTCAACAGGATGCAAATGCCCTCTTTTGCTGTGAGCAACTTTACAAAGTTGCTCGGTTTACTGTGCTTGTAATCTCAGAGGCACTGCTGTGTCTGCCACGTTCTGGACAGCTCCCTGGCTTGTGACGACTGTATGTCGTTTGGCAGAAGGCACATATGTAGGATTTGCTCCACCTGGAGGCAGTGGGTGCTTCCGCACGCTGCGGCCAGTGGTCCCATCACACACACAGCAATGTGCTCAGCGGAGGGAGGGGAAGATCCCAGCCAGTCAGCCGGTGGCCGTGTCCACTGCTGGGCAGCCCCGCAGCCCGTCCCACCCCCCACTCATTTTCCTCTAAGGCTTGGTGATGTGCTGCTTGTCGTTCCAGTGCTGGATTCCTGTCCACCAGAAAGATGAAATTAATGCTTCTTTTTCAACTTCCGAGAAGACCAGCTGTTGGCTGTCTTAAGGCTCCTCAGTGACAGTGACAGAAAGTTTGAAAGCCTGAAGACACGGGCGTGATCTTGGGCTGTGGGGCGATCTCATACCCCTGCTCCACCCCAGCTTTGCTCCTAGCACCCCTCATCCCACCCCACTGTGTGCACTGGGAGCACGTGCCCCTGTCTGTGAAATGAGCAGAGTCGCCTGTGTCGGCGTGTCCTGGGAATCCTGACGGGCTGGCCCAGAGCCGGTGCGTGAGCAGCAGGAGGCCATTGTTGGTGGGTGTGCAGGGCACAACTCAGACAGACGTGGATTCACAGCTGGGACCTGCCCTCGGCAGGAGGCCAGGTCGCAAGCACAAACGTAGGTTTAGTAGCGGTTTCGGAAGAGAAGATGAAAGAATTCACCTTGAATGGCAGATTAACGGACGTTTTTCATTACAGAACTTAATATGCACTTTTGAGAGCAGAACTGCTTGATTCTGGGTCTGCTTTCTTAACTTAAAAACTTAAAAAAAAACAAGAGGGATACAAGGACACTTGGAGGTGATGGATATGAGGATTACTTTGATTGTGGTAATAGTAACAGGAGTGTAGACATATGTCCAAACTCAGCAAATTGTATGTATTAATTATATGCAGATTTTTTGTATAACAGTTATATCTCAATAAAGGTGGAAAAAGCTTATTGATTTATTAAGAGCAGCCTCTGTGGGTGTTCTGGTATGTGTCAATAGAGCACTTTTATTTCTGAATTTGTGGCCACTGACAGTTCACAGTTCACGTGAAAGAGCCAGAGTGTGTTTGTGCACTCGGTGGTCTGCACGCTCCACCAGGCACAGTCTTGAAGGCGAGCAGTGGACGAGTGAGGTCAGATGGCAGCTCCTGTGCAGTTCTGTCGCCCCCCCTGAGACTGAGGGGTCAGACAGCTCTTTGAACACCTGGCCCCGGGGAGGGTCTGAGAGCAGCAACGGAAATGTCCTGTGGAACAGCACTGCCGCCCTGAGGTCTCCTGCAGAGTCCTTCCCATGGGGCTGCGGCATTGGGCGTGCTGCCAGCACACGGCGTGCATCTCGTGGACCCTGCGGCACAGCGTGAACGTTTGTCCATCTGATTTACACCTCGGCACCTAGAGTCACTGATGTTATTGGGACTTTTCTAGATGTTAGGATTGAAGGAAATACGCTGAGCAATGAGAGACTTGTTAGTACAATGTGCGTGTTTTCTGTGTACATGCGTGTGAATTGCTTTAGAGTCAGAACTGGTTTGGGAATATATTTCTTTTTTAGGGAATTCTGTGAGTTTATATAATATGCATCATCTAAAATTAGACAGAAATAAAAGTGTCAAAATTTTCTAATCTCTCATATTTAAAAAAAGTGTCCTCTTCGGTGGATTTGCTATGTACACTGATGAAGCATCTAGCTATTTAACATTTCAGTGTGTTACACCCGCTGTGTCTGTAACTCACGCCTGCTCGTTCGTGTGCAGATAAGATCTGCGACCAGATCAGTGACGCGGTGCTGGACGCCCACCTCAAGCAAGACCCCGACGCCAAGGTGGCCTGCGGTAAGACGCACCCCAACCTTCCCGCTGGAGCCTCGGGGGGCTGGGCGTGAACCTCTGCCTGTACTGAGGCCTGGGGCCCGGCAGAGGCATGGCCTCCAGGGCCTGGGGACAGAGGGGGTCAGGTCAGCCCTTGCACTACACTGAAGGGGTCATGGGCGCAGCCGAATCGGGCCTTGGCCAGGGTCACAGGGCAGCACTGCCTGGTGTAGAGCCCCAGCCCCGTCTCCTTGCTGTCTCAGCACCATGTAGACGGGTCCTTCCCTCTCCAGTGCATTCAGCACACAGGGTCCCATGTCCCTCTGGGGGAGACTTTGCTGAGGTCTTCGTGGACAGCTGGGGGGCAGGCCGGCCTAGCGCCATCCTCGCTCAGGGTCCCACTCCCTAAAGCCCAAGTGGCGTCGGCAACAAGGGGTGGGAGAGGCCTCACGCGTGTTGACCGCATTCTTCCTGATGACTGCAGACTGCGTGGTCTCGCTTCAGTCCACACAGCAGTCTTCTTATCTTCATCCAACAGCTGGGGAAACAGGCTAAATAGGTTGTTCAGGATCACAGAGGCAGCGAGAGCCTGGTGTGGAAGCTCAGCGTGAAGATTCTTTGCGAGGCGTGGCTCCCCCAGCAGCGCTGAATGGCTGGCAGGCGTGCTGGGGTTTCCTCCTTCCATTAGCCTTAACCTCTTCTTTTTGGAGCTTGTCCCCTGTGAGGCTCCGTGCCGGCCTCCTCCTTGTCCCCGTGAGAGGTCTGGCCCCCTGGCACGCAGCCACCATGTTTCTCCCTGCAGAGACGGTGTGCAAGACGGGCATGGTGCTGCTGTGTGGGGAGATCACCTCCATGGCCGCGGTGGACTACCAGCGGGTGGTGAGGGACACCATCAAGCACATCGGCTACGACGACTCTGCCAAGGGTGAGGCGGGGCCCCGGGCCTGAAGGACGCGCCGGTCCCTGCCAGGCCCTGATGCTGAGTCAGAGCAGGGCGCCCTGTCCTTGGGAGGTGCACATACCACCAGAGAGAAGCATGCCAGCCCAGCCGGTCAGGGTCCAGGGGTCACACTCTCTGGCAGCAGGGTGGCAGCCCAGGTGACGGTGCTCAGCCGAGCCAGCCCATGATAGTTGGGTGTTGACTTTAGTCCTGGTCAAGGTCCTGACTTCCTGGGCCTTTGGAAGAGGAAGCAGCGCTGAGTGGCAGGTGCCCTCTGGGGCCCGCATTCTTTGCCAGGCCCTGGGGCCGGCCTCCTGTTTGTGTCGTCTGCCTTAACGTTTGAGGAGCTCGGCTGCCCTTGTGCAGCTGGGGAATGAGGCTTAGAGATGGAATCGTTGGTGTAAGGTGACACAGTCAGTAAGCGGCTGCCCTGCTGCGAACGCCTGTGCTTTCTGCTAAACTAGGCTGCTTCCCGTTACAGATGAAGGATGCTGATGGCAGGTGAAGGCTGGCCCAGGCAGGCTCCAGCACCAAGAGTGTGGGGGCGTAATGCCCCGGGAAGGGGCTCAGATCCTGGCGGGGATGGAGGAAGAGGGGCTGAGAGCCACGAAGGACTGAGGGCCCAAAGCAGATTCCAACGTCTAAGATGGGCAGGCCAGCAATGGGCCCAGCCAGGGGGTGTCTCGAAGGACGTGGCATGAAGGCTGGATGCCGAGGGCCTGTGTATGCTGACGTCCCACTTACCGGGTGTTTGGGGAGACGTGTGGCACCTTTGTGGGTCCAGGCAGGCTGGGAGGATGCCTTGTAGCTTCATGGGTGAGAGAGGCACGTGCTGTGTGAGGCACAGACACGTGGAACTGCGGGCTCCCCTAGAGGACTCCCTGGAGCACATGGAAGTTTCAGGGGTGTATCCAGAGTCACTGGGAAGAGAGCCAGTGAGCACGGGGAGCTCTCCCAGCCAGTACAGGGGCCCCCCTGCTTGGCCGCCGGGTGCCCGGCCTGTCGGTGGGCCTGCTCCCGGCGCCCAGCGGCCAGGGGCTCACAGCTCCTCGCTGCTCTTTGCTGGGGGGTTGCCAGGCTCGCTGCCTTTCCAAGCCCTGCTCCCCTACCCATAGTCCCCTAAACAAGGTTTCCACATCACTCGGAGCCCTGGACTGGTTTTCAGTGCTGCGAAGATTATTTAGAGAGTGATTAGGTGAAATGCAATGTTTAGTGCAAAACTGGCGAGTCTTCCGCTGCTCGCTACAGGCTGTTCAGATTCATGCGTTCAGAGCCATTCGGTGGGAACAGGAGGCTGCAAGGACGAGGTGGCCCGTGCTCCTGGGCTGGGGGCACTGCCCACGGTGTCCACGGCAGAGCGGCAATGAGGGGCTGTGCCAGGGCCGGACATTTCCCAGAGCTCGTGGGTTTGGGCGTGCGGGAAGGAAGGAGTGTCCGCGGCCGTCGGGCCTCAAGGAGGTGGGAAAGTGGAAACGCCCCGTTTACGGCTGAGCCCAGCCCGTGGGCTGGAGCGGGGTGGGAGGGCTGTGGGCTGAGGAGCTTCTGTTTGGCCGGTTTGGCGGTAGGTCCCCACTGAAGCGTGTGCAGCGACAGTAGGTTGGTCTGGATTTGTGTGTTTGTAAGCCTGTCTGGCGGCCTGTGGAGGGCAGAGACTGGGAGGAGGGGACAGTCTGCTGTCACTAATACGTGACCCGGTGCTGGGCCCCTGCGTGTTGTAGCTCCTCATTCACACATCCCGGCAGCTGAGTCCGGGGGGGCTGTGAGGACCGGCAGAGCTTGGTCTGTGCGCCGTGGCCCCTCATGGGTCCCCGGGGTTCCCTGCACCCGGCTGGGGAGCACCAGCCTCCCTCTGTACCGGGGCTTTGGGAATGGGCAGACGGGCCTCGGCCTCCAGAGGGGCGCTTTTCCGTCTTGCTGCAGGCCCTGCGCACAGCTCGGGATCCGAGGGCTCGACTCCAGGAACCTCTGGGTCGTCGCTGTGCACTCTTCGTTCAGGCTGTGAATTCTTGGTGTGCGCTCACGCCTGGGCGCTGGGGGCGGTGCTGGAAGGGCCCTTGATGTCCACCCCTCACCCCGACTTCGGCCTGGGTCCTGGGAGGGCCCCCGGGAGCAGCGAGGGCAGGGCCGTGCGGCGCCTGCCTGCCCTTGGCTCAGAGCAGCGTGGCTGTCGCTGCGGTTCTGTGCAGGATGCAGACTCTTGACGGAGGGAGAACTGAACACAGAAAGATGCGCTGCAGAAGCTTCTCTTTGGCTGGCGAGCTCCACAGAACAGCGCGGGGAGATAGGGGCCTTCCCGCTGCGGGCCTTGGCCCCTGGCCACACTGATCCCGGCTCGCGGGAGACCCCCCCAACCCGCCCCCCGCCTCGGTGCCTGCCCGCGTGGGGAGCTCACAGCCTCCTCGACGCGCCCTCAGGCCTGCCTCCTCTGTGCCTAGGCTTCGACTTCAAGACCTGCAATGTGCTGGTGGCACTGGAGCAGCAGTCCCCGGACATCGCCCAGTGTGTCCATCTGGACAGAAATGAAGAGGACGTCGGTGCTGGAGACCAGGTCCCTAGGCACTGGGCATGCAGTCGTTGTCTGTGCCCTGACTCTGCCTTGTGCCGAGGCGCTAGCCGGGGAAGTGCATGCGTAAAGGCGTAATACTACGTGGGATGGACCCCACGTCCTGGCGGGGAGCTGTGTGCCTGGAGAGGGCGGGACACCTCCGCTTCCGGGCAGTGACTTGGGGGCGTGGGCCTGTCTCCCTGTCCCAGAGCGTTAGGGCTGGGCCCCAGTCTGCCCCCTGCAAGTGCCCCGTGCAGATGCCACATGCGTGAGGCCCCGGGCCAGGGTACCGCTGAGTGTCGGCCGTGGCCGCAGGGTCTGCAGTGGGTGCAGTGCTGTCGCTCTCTCCCTGCGCAGGGCTTGATGTTTGGCTATGCCACGGACGAGACTGAGGAGTGCATGCCCCTCACCATCGTGCTCGCGCACAGGCTCAACGCCCGCATGGCCGAGCTGAGGCGTGCCGGGGTGCTGCCCTGGCTGAGGCCGGACTCCAAGACTCAGGTGGGCCTCCTGTGCCGCCTCTGCGGGGCTCCGGACGCGCATGGCGAGCACCCCCGCATCCTGCCCATCCTCGTCCTCGAGAGGAGCAGATGTTCAGTCCGGGCGCTCAGACAACTGTTGATTGTGAAAAGAACTATTTAATGAAATAGGTGTTTTCTCCCCCCTACATTTTATTACGAGGAATTTAAAAAATCTGGAAAGAACAGTTCTAGATGTTTCTGCTTTCTTGGCGTGTGTTGCCTCTGTTATGTGACCCTCGCTCGGCACCACCTGCTGCTTAACCGCGTCAGAGGGTGTTGCTACCTGTCCGCAGACAGTCCCGCCTCGAGCAAAGCCTGAACATGCCGTGAACGGTCCCGTCAGCACCTCTCTCTGGCCCTTTCTCCATGTTTCTCATAAAAGGGCTTTACCTTTGCTGTTTCTGACCCTCCGTGCCCACGGGCCTTGACCTCTCCGCTCCCGCCCCACTTAGATCCTAAGTCTGTACTTGAAGGTGATGGTGATGCAGGTGTCACAGGCGCCCGGGGTGGGGGGTGCTCCTCTCCCAGGGCCCTGGTTTGCCCTCCCCTCCCCGCCCTGTTTTGCCCTGACCACCCCTCTGCTCCAGATGCCTTCCTGGCTCCCCTCCCGGCTCCCCTCCCGGCACCCTTCCCACCCTTCCGTGGGTTCTCCACACTTCTCCTTCACTCTGTCTCTCCTTCTGCCCTCGCTGTGGATCCAGGGTTCCCCTCCACGCACTCAGATCTCCGGCATCTTCCACCAGCCCCATTTCCCATTCGCCCCGCAAACAGATGTGCTCGGAGACCACTCAGCTGAGGAACCCCACCCCACCCCTCCGTCTTGCTTCCTGCAGAGCACACGCTCCAGCCCGTTCCCCAGGCCAGCTGGCCGGGGTCGGCGCTGCGCCCTCCCAAGGGTCTCCCTGCCGGGAAACTGCAGTTCATTCCCCGTGAGCTTCACTTTTAATATCCTCACGTCTGCTCAGCACCTTCTACGTCTGTCCACTTCCGTGGGGCGACATCCTACTTGTTGTTCTGGCTTTCAAAGCCTTGCTTGGTTTTCCCGCTTTACCGTCCTCGGCCCCCCTCCCCATCTGTGTTAACCCTGCTGTTTCACTCAGTTTGCCTTGTTTCTTGGTGCTTGTCCCCTGTGCTCCACTCCCACCCCTCGCCTCCCTCAGAATCCTGTGCATCCCTGGGCCGCCGCGTGCCCGCCCCCCCCGCTGGTTTCCCTGGCAGCCTCGGGCTGCTCTCGCTGCGGTGCTTGGCATTTGGCGGCAGGGTTTCTAGCTCTCATGGTGCCTGCGTCTCTGTTCCCTTAGTCCGCGTGCACAGAGACGCCTCTTCCTCACCAGCTATGAGGCAGCACAGGGCAGAGGCTGGGGCAGGGAGGCCGCTGTGGCCTCGGGACGCCCGCGTCGTCCATATGACCCCCACGGGGAGGTGAACTGCCGGCATCCCCGGGTGTGCTTTGAGGTTGTGGAGCATGACAGCTAAAGTACAGAGATGACGATGGCACAGAAAGAAAGGGGCACGTGCTGTTGGCACCACTGCCCCATCCCATTCCGGAGCTGTGCTGTGAGGAGAAGCAGGGTGGAGTGTCACAGAAAGGGAATCCTGGAGCAGGGCCGGGAGGAAGGGAGTGGAGCCACCTGTGTGAGAGCGAGGACCTGAGGCCCCACCTGTCGGTGGCTGCCGTGGCTGGGCCTCCTTCGCTGTGTTCGTGATGCGCGGTCTCCGGGTCTCCACCACAGCCAGCTGGGTTTCCCTTCCTGCAGAGATAAACCGAATTCTCTTGAAAATGCTACTTTGGATGCCAAAGTCTGCCTCGCTCCCCTACACAGGCGGGCCTGGGCTGGCGAGGATGGGGTGCAGGTGTGGGTGTGCTGACAGCTCCCCACGGCCCCCTGGGTGAGGCCGCCCCACCATGGGGAGCACTGTGCCAGGAGCAGTCTCCAGGCCTCCTCTGTGCCTGTCGGGGAAGGGTTTTCACTGTCTAACTGGAGTGCTGACCGTGAACAGGATGGATCTTTCCACCTGAACAAATTCTTGCTGCTGATACTGAGAACTGAGTGGCCACCCAGGTGCTATTTCTGACCCTGGTCAGAGTTGTGTTTTCCATGGAGTATTTTCCCCATGTCTTGCTGACGTGATGAGATGAGAGTGGTGCCTGGGGCCCTCTGCTCTTCCCCAGTTCTGTGGTCATCCAAGGATGCTGCTGGGCGTTGGCTCAGAGTGGGGGATCCGGCAGGGGGGCAGTGGAGACCGGCCGCAGGGGCTCCCTAGGGTGTGGCCTTGCCCTGAGGCTGGATGCAGCAGACGTGGTCCTGGAGCTGGCACAGGGCCTCGCCCCCTGGGACCCCTCTGCGTCTCTCCAGTGCCCTCTCACAGGCCCCGTGTGTGCAGTCAGCGCTTGTGGTTGTCTCAGTTCACAGATGTCAGTGCGCATCTACCCGCCTCCCCAGGATCACACCCTTTGGACAGGCTCTTTCTCCTCCTTCCTCTGGGCCCACCCATTGCTCTTCAGACCAGGCAGGACACATGATCAGAGCTCTATACCGGGCCAGTGTTTGAGGGCTCTCTGGGGGCTGCAGGTGTAGCCCCGGGGAGGTGCCGTGTGCTGCCCTGTGGTCCTGTCCAGGCCGAGGGTGTGGAGCAGTCCTGTGCCTGCTGGCCAGCTGGCCTAGCTACACTTCTGCAGGCCCCCACCCCCGTGGTCCCTCCGGGCACTGCTTTTGTGGGTCCATGTGCTTTGGGTAGCAGTGGGCTTGTGGTTCCAGCACATCCCTCAGGGTCTTGAGTGACAGCCTGCTGGGCAGTGCCCCGGCTACCAGGCCACACGGCTGTAGGTCCGAGTCCAGCTTTGCTGGCTGTGTGATCTTGATCACAGCATCTTTACAGTGGGCCCAGTGATGGCGCCTCAGCTTCTGGCGTGGCTTCTGGCATCTGGTGTGTACCATCAGTGCCAGTTTCTTCTCCAGCCTCATCCGCCATCCTCACCGTCTCCTCCCCTCACTCTGCAAGCCCATGGCACCCGCCGCCTTTGGTGCCATCAGGCCAGGCTGCAACACTGGCTCCTGTGCTCATGGTGTGTTGGTGGAGATGGGGAGACGGTGCTGTCTGTGCGGCTGTGGGGCGACACAAGCTTCCAGGCCAGGTGGAGCCGGGCTCTGCTCTTTGGCTTCTCGCTGGCTGGCGTGTGGCTTCAGTCACCTTGTTCCACTTCTCACGGGCCTGTTTTCTCATTTGTAAAATGGAGATGATACTGCCTATCTGGCCTAAATATCAATTGATAATGCATAGAATGGACCCAGAAGTGACCCTCATGGTGGCGGTGGGTGTGAGGTACGTCCCTGTGCCTGGCCCGCAAGGGCACTGAGGCGGCTGCCTTTCCCTTGTGCTCTCTGTGTTCCCTTGCTTTTCCCCAAACGCCTGGGGCTGGCAGTGCAGACATGCGGCTCCCTGTCTCCATGGCCCGCGCCCCTCCCATCCTGTCCCCACGGCGGGCACGTCTGCTGGCCCCTGTGCCTCCAGAGCTCCTCCGCTTGGGGCTGGGTGGCTGGCGTGTGGCCGTGGACTCCTGGGTTCCTCGGTAGGAGCCCGCGTGCCTTGGCCCCAGGCCACAGAGGGTCCAGAGAGGGCTCTGGCCAGAGGGACATTTGTCATCACCCAGAACCCTCTGAGATGGAGGGAGGGGAGTCTAGTGGGTCATGGAGTGGAAACTCTAGAACCTGAGGCCATGAGTGGCACCAACTGTGGTCACAGGTGGGAACAGCTTGTGCTTGATTCCCAGTCATCCCAACGCCACAGTGTGTGAGATTAAATGTCCTGAAGGTCCGTTGAGGCTGGAGGGCCTGTGGCCCCTGGGAGCCCTGCTGCCTCCCGGGTACCTGTGCCAGCAGCAGTGTGTCCTCAGCTCGGGACGGGGCCTCACGCTGTGTGCCCTGCCCTTCTGACTGACAGGTGACCGTCGAGTACGTGCAGGACAAGGGCGCCGTCATCCCCGTGCGCGTCCACACCATCGTCATCTCTGTGCAGCATGACGAAGACATCACGCTGGAGGACATGCGCAGGGCCCTGAAGGAGCAGGTGATCAGGGCCGTGGTGCCGGCCAAGTACCTGGACGGGGATACCATCTACCACCTGCAGCCCAGCGGGCGGTTCGTCATCGGAGGTCCCCAGGTATGCCCTCGTCTCTGGGTGAGGTCTTGACGCACCTGTGTTGCTAGGTGGCTCACCTCGCCAAGCACAAGGGCTGCAGGAGGAAGCTGTGTGTGACCAGCCGGGCCTGGGCGTGGGCAGAACGTGCAGTGGGCTCGCTCCCTGCTGGGCCCGCTGTGTGTCCTCAGTGTGTGAGGAGCCGGGGACGTGTGCCTGGGAGTCTCCATGTCGTGCTGCCTGGCCCTCCCACTCCAAACACCTGGTGCCTGCCCGGCTGCAGCTGCTCCTGCGCAGGTGCCAGCTCAGCTCTGCAGGCGACTGGCCTTCCCGGTGCCGTCTATTGGTTCCCTGCCGCAGGGCACCCTACGCACTCCTGGGCCCCAAGGTGTGCAGTGCTGCAGGAGGGGACCCCCGCTGCTCCGCCCCCTGCCCCTCGGGAGTGAGGATGAGGGGTGGGCGGGGCCTCCCAGAGGCTGCTGAAGCTACCCAGGGCCTCGGCCATCAGGGTGTTGCCACGAAGCGGAGCCCCCGTGGCGGGTCCTGTGTCCACATGTAGTGCAGAAACACGGGCCTAGAGAACGGTGAAGCTGGTTTTCCTACAGGACTTCTCCAAGCTCATGCTGGTGTGGACTGTGTGTCTCTAAGAGGGGAGATGACACGCACTTTCCTCCAATCATTTAACACAGAGCGCCCCCCCCCCCATCTTTATTGACGGGTGGTGCACAGAGCAGACCCCTGAGGAAACGGGCCGTGTGGCATCTGCTGCACGGTACCAGCCAGGCCACAGCCGGGGGCACTTGTTACGGCCCAGTCCCCTCCTGCGGTGGGATTTCTCCTTCATGACCAACTCAGGAAACCAAGGCACGAGGAGCTGGCTGTGAGCCCAGCTGCCACCTTCTCATGAGGCTCCGACAGGTCTCCCGCCTTTGGTAAGTGGTGGGGACTGACCTGGGGTCCGAGCGCAGGGTTTCTGGCTGTCTCGTTACCCGGCTCTCAGAGAAACGCCCGCAGGCAGTGTCCAGCCCCCTCTCCGAGTGCTGGTCCAGCGGCCACAGAGCTTCGGCTGCCCCTCCTCCCAGCCGCCTGGGGCTCGGGCTGCCACCTCCCGCTCTGTCCCTCCTCTCCTCCGCAGGGCGACGCGGGCGTCACCGGCCGTAAAATCATCGTGGACACCTACGGCGGCTGGGGTGCGCACGGTGGCGGGGCCTTCTCCGGGAAGGACTACACCAAGGTGGACCGCTCTGCGGCCTACGCTGCCCGCTGGGTGGCCAAGTCCCTGGTGAAGGCGGGGCTGTGCCGGAGAGTGCTGGTGCAGGTGCGTCGCCCAGCCTGCACTGGACACGCGGGCCTGGCGGGAAGGCCACATGCTCTGTCAAAGGACGAGCCTCTCTGTGTGTCGGGTCGGGCACTGCGGCCAGTCTCCTGTGAATGGGGAGGGGGAGACGAGCGTCTTCAGGGCGGGCAGGACTCTAGGCAGCCGAGGTGGGGGCCGTGCGGGCAACAGACGTCTGGTTCCAGCTGCCCCTTCCCGCCAACGCTGAGGTCTCTGTGAGGGCCGGACACCTGCACTGAGGCTTCCATCCCGACCCTGGTCTCTTCCGGAAGGTCTCCTACGCCATTAGCGTGGCTGAGCCGCTGTCCATCTCCATCTTCACCTACGGAACCTCCGAGAAGACAGAGAGGGAGCTGCTGGATGTGGTGAACAAGAACTTCGATCTCAGGCCTGGCGTCATCGTCAGGTACAAGTGCAGCCGCTGCAGTGCGGAGGCCGCCTCCTCCCTCCCCCAGGCTCAGCTCTGCGGGGGCGGGTGTCGGAAAGGAGGATTTCCCACTCCCCGGGAGGAGGGGTCTTCCAGCTCTCGCCCTGTGCAGAGCACACCCCAAACGCAGCACGTCTGGTGCTCGGGTTGAGGGGCCTCCAGGGTCCCTGCTGGCCGGCAGATACCGACACGGGTGGGTGGGCCACCTTTGAACAGGAGGGGGGGTCTCAGGAAGACAACTGTAAGGCAGAATGGCTGAGAGCCGAGTGGGCCAGTCTAGTCCCATCTCCCTTGCCCCTGCTGCCCCCCTGCTCTGAGCCTGGCCTTGTGTGGATGCCGGGCTGGGCCGGGTGGAGGAGCCGAGAGAATGGGGCAGCGAGGCCGGGGTTCAGACCCTGACTCCCAGGTGTGTCTGTGGGTTGGGCCATCCCTGAACCTTGGGGCCTGTTTCCTGGGGCCACTGGCAGCCGCCTCATAAGACGTGGTGCCTCGAAGGCAGGAAACACGTGGGGAACTGCCCTGAGGGTGGGGACACTCGCCAAGATGCCTTGGCCTGTTACCTACTCCCCTGCTGGAAATAGAGCGAGGGCCTCTGCCTGCCCCTGAGCTGACCCTTCCCTCTGCTGGCCGGGCAGGGACTTGGACTTGAAGAGGCCCATCTACCAGAAGACCGCCTGCTACGGCCACTTTGGGAGGAGCGAGTTCCCCTGGGAAGTTCCCAAGAAGCTTGTGTTTTAGAGGCTGTGCAGCTGGGCCGGCCTCACGGCGGAGGCCCAGGGCGGCAGCATCCTCTTCTCCAGGGTCCCGACTCCCAGATCTCCCAGCCCCTGGGCCACTCACCGCCCGCCGGGCACGCTTCCCCTCTGTCTTGCCCCCTCCCTGTGCTTCCTCCTCCCGGGTCCCCTCCCCGGCAAAGCCAGCTGCCTCTGATCGAGCCATCCCCTGTCGTCGCCTGAATGGCATGAGGCAGGGGCCTCCTGTGCCAGGGCCAGGTCCCCTCATGAGGATAGTCACGAGGTCCCCGGCCTCTCCCTCAGACCCAGGCGATGTTCACTTAGGGAACCACCCCTGTCAGGAGTACATCCCCCACTCGCCTCCCCCCACAGCCTGACCCTGACCAGCTCCCTCCGCCCCTGCGTGTGCCCTGGCCACTGCACCTCAAACGTCTGGAGGCCCCGTGTGGGCCTGGGTGTGCTGGGCCTGCCCTTGAGTCTGCGGCCAGCACCTGAGCCCAGGCATCACACAGGCCTGCCCGGGCTGGGCTCCATGGGGAGCAGAACAGGGCCCACGTCGCCCAAGCGTCTCCACCTGTAGGGGCTGAGCTAACCTGATCCCATTTCTTCTTCACTGCAACACAATGGGGAGCACCTTGCATAATCCCATTTATGAATGGGGAAACTGAGGCACAGGTCATCTAGGCAACTTGCACAAGGTCCCACTGCCGCCTGTGTCAGAACCTAGATAGGAGTCCAGGAGCTTTGCCTCAGCAGTTCCCCCCCTCCATCTCATGCCAGAAGCAAGCCCTGAGGAGGCAGACTGAGGCGAGGCTGTGGCCTCTGCCCCAAGAGCCGAGGCTGCCCCCGGCGAGCCCTGGGCAGGGGTCTGCAGAGTCAGCACAGAACCAAAGACTGTTGCATTTGCCTCCTCGTTTTCAGAAGTGGGTTCAGGGTGGGCGGGGCGTCCTGGCCTCTGGGACCAGGCTGGAGTTTGGGATCGAGGAGCAGCCATAGAATCCTGGCCCCTGACCACTCAGGGCCACGTGGGGCTTGGACTTCTGGACTTCCGGGGTCAGTGGTCCAAGTCGAGTCCTGTCCCCTCTGGGCTTCCCGGAGCTGGAGAAGCAGCTTGTCCTGGCATGGGCAGCCCGCTCCTTAAAGAAGGGGCTGCAAGTCTTCAAGGCTTTCTCTCTCTTTGGCCTGCTCCCTCCGCTGCGGTCCGAGCGCCATGGGAACACATGGATGAGCCCTCAGACCCCCCTGCATCGCGCCTCCGGGCTGGCTCTCCATCACGGGAAAGCTGCTCTGGGGGGCAAGCACCCACATCACCGTCACCATAATGTCCCAGCGTGCCTCCCCCAGGTCCCCTCCCTCTCAGCAGACGGAGGCACAGGGCCGTGCTCCTCCTGCTCAGGCAGGTTTGAAGTGAAAATTAAGGGTTTTATACTTTCCCCCACCCCCTAAAAAACAGCATCTTTTTTTGCCAACATTGTTTATATGAGGCTAGAACCTTTATTGACAGCTCCCGCAGGGACAGTGAATAAAAACCCAAGGAGCAAGTGCCCTATGCTGTCTTTGTCCACAAACCCAGAAGCCTCCCCTCCAGGTGGCACTGCCTGCTTCCCCGTCTCGCGGCAAAGTGCGTCCTCTCCTCGGTCCTCTCCTCGGTGCCCGCCTGGGCCATCTGTCCTTGTGGGCTCCTCCACTGGTGCTGTGCTGAGTCACCCTGTCCGTCTGTGGGGGGCTCCTCCCCAGTGCTGTGCTGAGTCGCTCTATCTGTGGGGGGCTCCTCCCCAGTGCTGTGCTGAGTCGCTGCGTTAACGTGTTTATTCCGCACCGTGCTCCTCCGAGGCAGACACTCCTGGGAAACCCACATTGCAGGCGGGGAACCTGAGGCCCCTGGACGGTCAGGGCTGTGACGGGGGCACCTGGCTGGCGAGTGGCCCACTCTCCAGGTGTCCCCTCTCCATCACCAGCATGCTCCCCTTCATCCTCGTCTGTATTCCCTTCTCCCGCCCCGTCCTCCTATTTTCTACAGTAAGACTGGCACAAGGTGGGCGTCCGGTGGTGTTGGCAGAATGGCCGAATGAGTGACTGAAGTCAAGCGAAGTGAGCGAGTGAGGGGTTTGGTCTGCAGGGAGATGAGCCAAACCTTTAAATGGGTGTGCGTGTCCCTGTCGCACATTTAGGGGGATGACTCACACTGGTTTTGGTTAGACAGTGTCCCTGCCATGGCCCCCAAGAGGCAGTCCTGAGAGCTGGAGCAGGTGGGGTGGGACCTGTGCTGTCCCCTGCAGGCAGAGACAGGATCTGTGCCTGGAGAAGCCACGACCCTGGCTGTGCAATGAAAGACTTTTCCTAGAAAATAATGCACATTTTGTAAGAACACATACGAACAAAATGACACACAGGGAACGTTGGAACACTTGCCTGTGATGGAAGGTGGTGAAAGAATGGGCTTTGTGGGCAGAAAAGGCCACATAATGAGTGAAAGCCAGAAGGAGAAGCAACTTCTGAACCATGACACCTCGAGTGTCAGATGTGCTGGAAATGTGGAAGAGCAAGCAAGATGCAGGGAGCGGCCGGGGGTAGGAGGAAAGCCAGGAGAGGGGAGCCAAGTGGAGACTGTTGCTAGGATTGGGAGGGTCACCCATGAGCTAGATGATGTGAGGCCTCGGAGTGTCCAGTGTGGTCAGCCGTGTGGAGGTTGTTGGTGACCTGGGAAAAGGAGAGTCGTTAAGAAAATGTAAATATGGCCGTGTGCCCCACCCCCAACTGTCATCCATTAGTACCTCTAGTACATTCTGAATAAAGTTCAAGGTGCGGGACTAAGCTGTCACTGTCTCATGTGCCTGTTCGGTCCCTGTCTGGATTCCGTTCCCCACCTGACTCCAGACTCCCCAGCCTCTTTGGCTTCCCCAAACAGGCCAGCTCATTCCTGCCTCAGGACCTTTGCACATGCCATTCTTTCTGTGACACTCTTCTCCTGTCTTTGAGTGGATGCTACAGGCATCCTGTAGGTTTCAGATGAAATTTCTGTGTTTCTGAAAAGCCCCTTCCTTGATAACCCCCCCATTTCTACTCCCTTCCCTTTTTAGTTTCTTGTTCAGTGTTTCACACAGTGTGTAAATACGTATTTCCTTGTCTAACTTCCTTGGGGCCCATCCCCCTCACGACTCCTTCCACACCCACCCTCCCTCCTCTCGCTGGGTGGTTCCTCTGATACTTCCAGTCTCAGTTTACACATCACCCTCCAGAAAGACACTCCCACACATCCTCCATCAGTTGTGCCCATCACCGTCTTTATCTGGCCCTGGGCTGTCTAAGGCTGCAATTCTTCATGGATGTCCCTACTTGCTTGTTTATGCTTGTTGCCCCCTCAGGACCCAGAATTGTTGAGGTCTTACCTTGTCTGCTTTCTCTGCCATTTCTTGCCTGGCTCCGGGGCAGGCTTGGCACAGAGTAGGTGCAGGTGTAGAATGAAGTCCAGGCGTGTCCGTCTGCCCTGCCCCTGACTCCCCTTAACAAAGAGGTTCTGTGAGAGATGAGGATTCTGCTCGCCCCCTGCCAGGCTCTGTGCCAGGCTCAGGTGCCCAGAGAGGTAAATTACAACTATTCAACAGAGATTTGTGGGGTTTTTAGAGCACTTGTTCAGAGCATAGCACTGTGACCATGAGGGGTTACTCAGTGATCACTCGGCAGTTCAGTGTTTCAATACTAGAAGCGAGCGTGGTATGATAACGAGGTGACAAACAGAGGAAGGTGACACCAGATGAGGAGGCACCCAGGAGGATGGGCAGGTGGGAGCGTGGTCTGAAGGGTACTTGGGAGTTGGTGGTGGGTGGAGGAATGGGGTGGGAGGAGACTTTGGGAGAGAGTTGGCGGCTCAGCATGCATTGGTTGGGGTGGAAGGCTTGCGGTGGAAACTGTAGAAGAAACTTTTGCCTGTGACACATTCCACGGAGTGGGCGTGACCCAGGCACAGTGTCAGCAGCAGCTGTGACACAATGTGTCGATGGGTCACTGGATGAAGAAGATGTGGTGTGTACATGCACAATGGAATATTATTCAGCCATGAGGAAGAAGGAAATCCTGCCATTTGCAACAAGTTGAATGAAACTTGAAGGCATTATGCTAAGTGAAACAAGTCAGACAGAGAAAGACAAATACTGTAGAATAATATCACTTTATATGGAATCTAAAAAAGCCAAATTCATAGAAGCAGAGAGGAGAGTGGTGGTTACCAGGGGCTGGGTGGGGGGTGGGTTGGAGAGATGTTGGTCAAATGGTACAAACTTCCAGTTAGAAGATGATAAACTCTGGGGCCAGTCCGGTGGCGTAGTTAAGTTCACAGGCTGTGCTTCGCTGGCCTGGGGTTTGCAGGTCAGGATCCTGGGCCCTGACCTGGCACTCCTCGTCAAGACACACTGTGGCGGCATCCCACATAAAACGGAGGAAGATGGGCACAGATGTGAGCTCAGTGACAATCTTCCTCACACACACAAACACAAAAGATGAGTGAGTTCTGGGGATCTATTGTAGAGCATGGTGATTATAGCTAATAATACTGCATCGTGTACTTGAAAGTTGCTAAGAGAGTAGATCTGAAACGTTCTCACCACAAGAGAGAAATGGTAATAACATGACGTGATGTGATGTGATGTGATGTGATGGGGGTGTCAGATAAGGCTGTGGTGGTGATCATTTTGCAACCTGTAAGTGTATCAAATCAGCATGTTGTACACCTTAAACTTACACAATGTTACATGTCAATTATCTCTCAGTAAAGACGGAAACAAAAGTGTGACAGACACGTGGGCCCTGGGCTGTGGGGTCTCTTGCCTTCTTACCATGACATCCTCAGAGAGAGTTGTGGAGAAATAAAGAAAGGGGCTGTGTTCTGAGTTCAGTCCATGTCAGCTCCAGATGCAGAAAAACGAGGGTAGATAAATAATTCAATGGGAAGGAAAAACCAACTAGAGGGAACAGGACAGTCTACAGCCCCAGAAATCCGCATTGGAGGTGGCATTGGACGCCCCTACAACATGGGAGGTTGTGTCAGATCCGTTTGACGTCACTCTTGTGGGACAATGTGAAACTCAAAAGTCAGAAGGGCAATAACTCGCCAAATCTGATTTCATAAAAATGAAATTTTTGTGCATTAGGGAAAAAACATAAAGGTAAAAGATAAGTAACAGAATGGAAAATATTTGCAATGTCCAATTTAACGAACCACAGATCAATAAGAAAACAGCAAAACCCTAGAAGTAAATGGACAAAGTGTAAGGACAGGAACAAACAGATGTAATGAAAGAAATGGAAAAAAACCACGAGAAACGAAGTTGCTCAATCACACGTGTTTCAAGAAATAAACACTTTTAAAAAATGCAATATTCTATTTTGGCAAACAGATGGCTAAAAAAAAAAAGATAGGAGTGGTAAAACCCAGGGCTGGTGAAGGTGTTGGGAAATGGGCGTTTCCAAACGCGGCTCGTGTGGTTTGGCGCAGACTTTCTGGAGGGGACTTTGGCTCTTTGTTCTTGCCTGGTCTGACCCTTGGGTCAGAGGTGCCATCACGCCACGGCGGGAGCGCTCTGTCCTGGCCTGAGGGGGACAGCGGGGAAAGGCCAGTGTGAGCTGGACGGGTCAACTTGGGAAGGGCTCTCGGGAAGCCCCGTCTGGTCTTGGCCCCCTGAGAGCAGGGCTCCCTCCTGTAGCCGAGGTTGAGGGACTCCCCCTGGGGTGTTTGCCGAGCCCCCACAGGAAGACCCTGGGACATGGGCTGGGAGGAGCCCTGTCCTTCACATGCTAAGGCTGCAATAGCCAAGGTGATCGTGGAACCTAAGAGGACTGTTTCCATCCCCAAGTTACAGAGGGGAAGCTGAGGCTCAGGCAGGTGGGCTCACTTCTGAAGGCCCCACTCAGTAAAGGCCGACCCTGTCCCAGGCAGGAGGGAACCATGGGTGTGGCTGGTGTGAGTCCCCTCCGTTTCATGGGGGGAAGCGGTTGGATCACGGCCCCAGCAGCTGACGTGGGCTGCTGTTCTGGAGGGGCTGCTCCCCGAGGTGTGAGGATCCTGGGGCCCAGCATCTCCTTTAGTTCTGAGCTGTGTGTGTTCTCCAGCAGGAGAGGCAGCCCTGGGCTCCAGGCTCTGCCCAGGCTTCCAGGAGGCCCCTCTTGGCAGAGTAGGGGGCCCCAGCTCCTCCCCAAGGTCTGTCCCCACTCCACCTCCAGGGCTCCTGACCACAGTCCCTGTGCCCACCCCCCTCCTCTTGACAGAGGCTGGACGGGGTGGGGCGGAGGCCTCTTGATATTCGTAGGTGACGAAAGGCTGGGTGGGCTGTTCTGTTCTCCTCCTTGGGCTGAGGACCCCCTAAGACAGCCTCGGGGGCCAGACTCCAGCCAGGCTTCCCCCTCACCTCACTCCCTCCAGGGCTGCCAGCCCCTCCCTGCTCCAAGCTCTGAGGGCAGCTCTGAACATTCTCCCTTGAAAAAACACGATATTGTGGGGGCCTGGAATTGGCCACCCCAAGAGATGTCTCTTTGGCATGAGGATTATTTGGGGCTGGTTACTTTTAATAAACTGCAGACAGGAAAGCAACTGAAAAGTAGAATTTACTTACCCTTTGTTAAGAGACATTTACATTGTAAAGGAAATCTCTGTCTGTATAGGTGTCTCCCTCTCTGTACCAGGAAGAAGGGGGGATGACCTTATCTCTAGAAACTCTTATCAATGCAGAATGCAAGGACTTAAATCTGCATAATAATCTTATTCCTGTTTATTGTGCTTGTCTGGTAACCTCCTGTAACTGACTTGCCCGACCCACAACATCCTCCTTTGTCTTGAGCTGAAGATGATATTTAAGGTGGGGGCTTCAGCCATTTTGGCGAGTTGCTCAGCTTGCCTGAGCCTCTCTCATGTATACATGCTATAAAGCTCTGTTTAATTTTCTCCTGTTATTCTGTCTCATGTGAATTTAATTCATTCTCTGGCCAAATGAACCCAGAGAGGGTAGAGGAAATGTCTTCCTCCCCTACAATATCATCTCGTAAGTAGCTTTTGGATTTAGGCATCAAAGCACTCAGAGTTTCTGAGTTCTAAGAGATTTCAATTTGTGTGGATCTCATGCTGTTTCTCTGCTTCCCTTGTGTTTCGTTTCCCAGTCGTAACTTTCTGAGCCACATGCTGGTTCTTGCGGCTTCTAGATCCAAAACCTGCTCAAGGAGGAGTTCCAGAATTTCCACATGTTGTTTTTCCTTCAGCTTTTCCCCTTGTTTCTAGTTGAACTGACAGGCAATTACAGAAAATAATGTCTGTTATTTGTACTTTTCAAAAAAATTTCAGGTTTTCATTTGACAAACAAATGGCAAGCAATAGGATCTATTGGAGTCTATGAGGAGGCCATTTGGTGTCAGCCTAATTCGGCCTGACAGTGTTTTTCCTGTCAAAAGGGCCTGACGTGGCCGTTGAGCACGCATCGCATCGTAGATCCACTTTAAACATTTCCTATGGCAAGAACAAATGCCCTTAAGAGAAAGGTGCAACTTCCCCGCACATTGGCCTTTCCTTAAGGAGAAGCATCTTTCCTTAGGCTAGGAACAGATGGCTGCGCTCACCTTTGACCATCCAGCTCACCTGTGACCACCTAGGCCGAGACAACAGACCTGCCACCCAGCTGTGTCCATCGATCCCTGTGCCAACAGAGCAATCTCGTGACTATCGTCAAAGGGACCTTTCGATCCTATGTGAAGCGTCCTCCCTGGGGGTCTAGAAGCACTCTGTACACCCCACTTCTCGGGTGCCCTTTCTTCCTTTGGGAAGAAAGGGCCCA